GTGTGTCACCTGATGGGCCCAGGAGAAGAATCCAGTCTGTGTGTTAGTGTGCTACAGGTGCGTTGTGGCTTCCTAAAGGTTAGAGGTTTATGCTCTAGTGAGGAAAAAAGATGTAAAAACGGCCAAATGAGCACACAGCCTTGACACTGGAAGAGGTAGGCAGCAATAATGTGGAAAGGATAAATATAGAAACCACATTCTTAGGAATGCCAGGTAGATGGAGCAGTGCTGTCTGTAGCTCTCTATGCATTTCTGTTCAGTTCTGAGGCGCTTTATGGGCTGCGCTGGGAGGGCCCACGGTATGCTGGCTGCTGTGCTGTACCTGGCACATCCCCTGGACTCTGCAAAGCAAGTCACATGGCCCATGTGGCAGGTGGCAGGCGGTGAAGAGCAAACTTGAGTGTTACCTTAATCCCACCTTTCAGGGATACATAGGGAAAATGAGATGAGCCTGATTTTATCTGCCTCAGGGTTCCAGGATGCAGTTTGGGTACATTAGGTGATTATTAGATTAATCTGTTATCCCTTCCAACAGATTCTAGGCTCAGAGAATGCAGAAATTTATGTCCACATCATACCTGGGAGCCTGGCAGAGTGTACTCACTGAGTCTGTCATGTGGGTGAGAGTACATGAAGGGTCAGTGTCTGAGGACAAGCAGGGACACAGGAGGCACAGTTGGAATTCAGAGAGGGATTGGGATTACCACCATGGAGCACTCGGAGCACCTTGAGGTTGCAGTACAGTTGATGGTTGCTTGTACATAAGGACTCCCCTTTCAGTCATCCATCAGCCCCACAGTGAATGGCTGAGCTCCCTTACCCTTCAGTATTGTATCATTTCATCTAACAGCATCATTTCAACTTCAAATTCAGCCATGCTTAAATGGCAAAAGACCTTCTTTATTTATTTGTAAATTATTTCCCTTGCTTCTGAATTTTAGAAATGGTGAGTTCCAAATGCTTACTTCTCATAGATATATTTTCCTTTAAGATAAAAGTATAATACTTACACTTAGAAAATGATTGATTTTAATACAAAATGCAGTGACCGTGTCAGCAGCTTGGATGGGAGGCCTGTGTGAGTAAGAGGCATTGGCTGCGCTGTAAATGGCTGTGGGCTTAGCAGGGGCGTTCACTGTAAGGTGGGGCCTTTTAGCTAAACGGATGACACTTGGGGAAGTGTGGAGAAAAGAGAAATGTAGGAAGACGTCAATAAAGCATTCACCTGGAAATGGAAGGCTGTGTACTTTGTTTCTTTAAGTTCCTCTCCACAGTTCATCACCATGTGTGTTAAATGTAATGTAGCCCTGTTCTTCCTTATATCACAAGGTTATAGAAAAATAAACTATCCTACCACTGTTACTTTCATTTTTATACCATAGTGCTTCTTCAAAATATAGGATGTCGGTTTCAGAAGTATGGTGGACACATGTTTAACATTTTGGGGAGTAGTATTAGAATACTTTTTAAAGGTATTGTGCATGACTTACTTCAGCTATACACTTGTCATAAAGTGCACCTTGGGAGTTGCTTTTCATTTATGATAATGAGTGCTTGGTGCGTGTAATTGTGTCTAATGAGTGTTAATGAGTTGATCTGAATATCCTTATTAGAAAAGTTAATAGTATGGAATATGTAATTACGAGGAATTTTTTTTCACACATTTTAGTTTAAGTTGCTCTGGTAAGTATGGGGTTGTTTATTATATGTGCGCTGATGGCTGAATGTGAGAATATTACTGTTATACATAGTGGTCTGAATTTGAAAGAGAAAGGCTTTGTGATTGTGTTTTACATATCAAAAACGTTGTGCTATAGTAGCAACACTATTAGCTGCTATTTTTAACATGACTCTAAAATTTGTGGAAGTTAGAAAGGAACTCAAAAATCTGAATCAGGCCAGGCGCTGTGGCTCAAGCCTGTAATCCCAGCACTTTGGGAGGCCGAGGTGGGTGGATCACAAGGTCAAGAGATCGAGACCATCCTGGCCAACATGGTGAAACACCGTCTCTACTAAAAATACAAAAATTAGCTGGGCGTGGTGGTGCACACCTGTAGTCCCGGCTACTCAGGAGGCTGAGGCAGGAGAATTACTTGAATCTGGGAGGCGGAGGTTGCAGTGAGCCGAGATCGCACCACTGCACTCCAGCCTGGCGCCTGGCGACAGCAAGACTCTGTCGTCTCCAAAAAAAAAAAATAAGAAGAATCAGTACTGTGATATAAAACTTCTACCATATGATAAAATTTCAGCCAACAACAACATTTGGGTTGTTGGGACAGATGAGTGGGCAGGCAAACAGGTGGATGGGTACGTGGTTAGATTTATTGACCTTGAAATCCCCAAATTGATGCAAGTTTGGAGTTGTCTCTCTATTACATCAGAAGGCCTTTGAGGTGGAGTTCCTTATGTTGACACCAGTTTTTCCTTTAGCCTCCTGGGGTTAGCTAACTAGATGACGTAGCTTCCCTGCCATCCAGCAGTGGACCTAGGTAGCAGAAGCTGATGATGGCCACGTGAGGCAGAGCCACCTCCTGAATATCTTGAGTACTGTGATGACCCCTGGATAACAAGACCTATGTGGAATTGCAAAGCTTCACTCCAACCTTTATTTCAAATAGATGAGTCAGTCAGTCAAGTGCAGTATTTCTTGATTAGCTTCATGTAGCCAGAGAGCTCAGCATGGTGCCCTACTGCATAGGAATCCTGTCAGAAGGTTGTGTTCATGTTGTCATTGTTTGTGTAAGTTTCAAGGAATTCCAATTATATGATTTGGAAGAGCACATCATAGATTTATTAACCAAAAGTGACTGACAGGTATCATCTCTGCTCCTTCTCTACCTGTGCAGGTGAGCAGTGAAGGACAGGGTTGGGGTCAGCAGCAGGAGGGTGCTCCTCTGATCATCCTAGAGGTGTCTGCTGGCTCCCAGATAATCAGACGTTTCCCTTGTCATACATTTGCCACTCCCTGGAACTGACTTCTTGAGGAGTCTCTAGATTTTAAGACTTACTAATTTTTTTAAGTGAAATGTTATGATCTGTTGCATGTTAAGATAGAAACTTGACTTTTCTTTAGCTTTTTGTTCTTCTCTTACTGCCAGGCAGAATAAATGAGAATTTCCTTCAAAACAGCTCCTTTCTCCCTAGCCTTGTTTCATGGCTTTATGATATTGACATACAGTCTTTTGGTAAAATGTATTTGCTTCTCAAAAGTTTTTAAATCATTTGTAGGCTTCTTCCTTTTGCTAACCTTTCTTATTTGTCTGTCTGTTTGTTGTTATAGCCATCCTGGGGTCTCCGGCTAGTGGGATTCAAAACACAATTGGTTCTGTTGGCACAGGGCAACAGAATGCCACTTCTTTAAGTAACCCAAATCCCATAGACCCCAGCTCCATGCAGCGAGCCTATGCTGCTCTCGGACTACCCTACATGAACCAGCCCCAGACGCAGCTGCAGCCTCAGGTTCCTGGCCAGCAACCAGCACAGCCTCAAACCCACCAGCAGATGAGGACTCTCAACCCCCTGGGTAGGTGAAAGAACTCTCAACTTTGTTCCTTCTTGTACAAATGCACCGAAGGGAATGGAGTGATGGAACCCAAGGCAGTTTTCTGTTTGTTTTGTTTTTTACTACAATGATTGAAATAAAAATCTTCCAGGAAAAAGCTGAAGTGTCTGATGCAAGGAAAATGTTACATGCTTATAAAAAGAATTTTTTATTTGCATTCGCAAATAAAGCAATGTTTTTGTTGCATACTGTGCCACTTCTGTCTGGACAATTTTCATAAAGAATGTGCCATGTGGCTCAGAATGCAGATCTCACACGTCAAGATGCTGACTGGACCCCTCCTGCTGACTCCTGTCATTTATTTGATGGAGAACTTGTGTCTGGCAGTTTCTCACACATCTTGGTTAGGGTCTTCCCCACAGTTGGAAGTGACCAGCCTGGACTTCAGCAGGTTAAAGACAGGAGTCCTGGGAACTTTCTTGGCTCAGGCTGCCAGAAATACCAGTATTTCCTTTGTCACCGCAGCCCATTTTTTGCCAGCCTTTAGTCATTTGCTTACACATCACCATGATTTTTGTCATTTCTGCATATGGTTTCCTTAATATTTTACTTTAAGTGGACACAGTCCCTTTACATTTTGGCTTAAGCTAAGTAGTGATGTTTGTGAAGTCAAGTCTGGTTAACTAGTTGTGCTAGTTTTGTTCTTTTCCTAATAGAGTAAGTATTTTACTCTTAAAAATTACACCTGGGCCGGGCGCGGTGGCTCAAGCCTGTAATCCCAGCACTTTGGGAGGCCGAGGCGGGTGGATCACAAGGTCAAGAGATCGAGACCATCCTGGTCAACATGGTGAAACCCCGTCTCTACTAAAACTACAAAAAAATTAGCTGGGCATGGTGGCGCGTGTCTGTAGTCCCAGCTACTCAGGAGGCTGAGGCAGGAGAATTGCCTGAACTCAGGAGGCGGAGGTTGCGGTGAGCCGAGATCGTGCCATTGCACTCCAGCCTGGGTAACAAGAGCGAAACTCCGTCTCAAAAAAAAAAAAAAAAAAAAAATTACACTTTAAAATATGCCCAGTTAAAGTCATTTTATTTGTTGCTTTTTGGAAAACAACTGCCCTAATGAATATCTAATTAATACTGGCCAAGAGACTGGGTTAGAATCCTGAGACCAAAGTCTTAATGTAATTCCTCTCCTGTTGATGGTATAATTTGGAACAAGCTTAACCTTTTGAATCTCAGCTTTCCTTTACTTTAACATGAAGATTGTAGACAAATTGATCTCAATATTTTTTTCCCGAGCTTAATTTCTATGTTTTTATTTTCTCATATTGGGGATAAAGACAGAGGCATGTGTCATGCGGGCAGCTGAGTCACTTAGGAGTGATATTCATGAAGCAGAATGAAAGTCAGAGGCTGTATATGGGTCACTAGATACCAGCTAACCTAGTGGCTCTACTTTGGTTACAAAGTAGAGTAGGGAGGTGTCTCCTGATTATTTGTGCACGTTGGTTACCATTGTTAAAAATATGACACTCAGAGTTCCTGCCTTTGTGCTTATTATAACTGATCAGAATCACTTATTTAAATAATCACCAATTGTTTATATGGTGACATGTTGGTTATCTGTCATCAAAACTTTGAAGTATATATTAAAATTTTAAGAGTTGATTGATTTCGTTTCTTTCTGTCTTTAAAGGAAATAACCCAATGACCATTCCAGCGGGAGGAATAACAACAGATCAGCAGCCCCCAAACTTGATTTCAGAATCCGCTCTTCCAACTTCCCTGGGGGCCGCAAAGTAAGATCATGTTTCAGTTCTGAGTGGCAGTCCAACGGAAATGTGGGCCGAGAACCACACAAAACTGATTCTTTATAAATGTGCGGTAGAGAAAATAGTTTAAATGGGGTGGTAAGGGGTGAATGCTGTTTTTCTTTTTTTCTTCAATTATAAATGTAGAACAGGTAATAGATTAAACATAGTTTAACTTTCATTGTATATACATCACTTGGCTCTCCTGACTTAAATTGTTTAAAAGTCACATATGGTGGTAGAAGAACCTTATTAGACTAAGTGTGTTTTAGTCCCTTCAGTAGATGGATGAAGTGTCCTTGTTTCCTCCCTAGCCCCCTGATGAACGATGGCTCCAACTCTGGTAACATTGGAACCCTCAGCACTATACCAACAGCAGCTCCTCCTTCCAGCACTGGTGTAAGGAAAGGCTGGCATGAGCATGTCACTCAGGACCTGCGGAGCCATCTAGTGCATAAACTGTACGTAACAGGTTTGCAGTTTCATAGATGTCTGATTTTGTTCCTGTGTTGCCCATTGGCTACCAGATGACAGTACCCTACTAGGCTGTACGAGCCATGTGCTTATTTAGGGAGCCACTCCCGCTGCTGGTAGAACTCTGGCAGCCTTGGGCAGGCCAGAGATTCCCACATTCTATGTCATTGTTGAGCGGGGCTGTCAAAGAGAGCATGGGTGGCTCTGTACTGCTGAGGGGTACTGAGTTGCAGCCCCTATCATGGAGACAAAGATCCTCGATGCAGCCTGGTCTTATGTGCCTCTGCACTTTGGGCTGCATGAGAGGGCTGGGGTTAGCTCAAAAGCTTAATCTTAGTTTGTAGTTCCAGATTCTAGTTGTGGAGATCCCTTAGAATTAGATAAATTTAGAGTATAGATGGCATGTCACCCTCACCTTACAGCTAGTTAACATAAAGTTAAAAATTAATTTTTCTTTTTTTTTTTTCTTTTTTTTTTTTTTT